TTCCCTGTTGCTTGTTATGTTCATTGCTTGGTTCCGTGAACTGGCCTAGTTGCCTTGGTGGTGCAGTTTCGTCTCTCCACCCCCTCCACAACGGTCGGGGGGCGCACTAGCGCGCGGGTAAGGGGAGCAATCCTCTTGCCCCTAACCCTGGCGAAAGAAAGAAAGAGAGAGAGAGGCAGACACTTGTTGTACCTGACATGTTGTACCCGCAGTCGTGTTGTACCTAGCATGTTGTACCCAGTCTGCTGTTAGCAAAGAATGGTGCCCAACAGAGCAGTAGCAACCACCCAGAACGCCGACAGAGCACCCCAAAACGGGGGAAGATGAGGCACGCGGCGTGGGGTCTAGTTGGTCCCTTAGTGTAAAGGGGGGTTCATCACAGCGACCCAACCGTGCCTCATCTCGTCAGCAGCTATCACACCCAGACATGCGACCAGTGCGCATTCGTGCGCGGGGGGAGCCTGCAAGCTCGCTCTTTGGCTGAGTTGAAGAAGAGGCAGACACGGTTGCTCCCCCTTCCCCAGTCCCGGAGAGAAAGAGAGGCACGGTCGAGAGGTGTTCAGATGTCTTCAGTCTCGCGCGGCTGAGCTCCTGAAATAACAAGGCACGAAGTGCAAGAAAAGTTCTCTATGCAGGACGAAGAATTCACGATCACTGGCGACACCAGCAACGCTGAAGATGCAGCCTTTGACAGCCAGGCCGGATGCATGTCCTTCCGATGTCCTAAGGACCAGGTGGCTCACGTTCTGCGTGCCTGGTGGGGAGGTGGGGGCCCTTCAAGAGGCTGTTCTGGATGATTCCTTCCAGGCCAAGGGTCTGTGCTTTGATGAGCTGCTTTCGGATTGCCTGGTTAGGACGTGCTGAATGCCTATTGCAGAGAGCACTGCCATCACTTCGAGGCTGGATTCCTCGGTTGGTCCTAGACTTGTCGGCTTGTGCCGGATTCAGGACACAGAGGAGAACAAACTCATCTACACCGAGCTCTTCAACCAGTACGCAGACGCTTCGCTCACTTCAGTACAGAGTCACCACTTCTGCGCACAGAAGGGTGAGTGCGGCTCCGACTCAGGAGCTCATCGAAGGGCACCTCGAGCGGCAGATGGCAAGCGCCATCCCTGGGCCTGGCTCCAAGACGGCCGTGATCAGCGGCTCGAGCGTGCTTTCGTCTTCCGTCAGCTTCTCCATGGCCGCCTTCCTCGAAGAACTGTCCCGAAGAGGCCACGCATTTCTTGTCAGCCGACGTGCATCGTAGAATCGTAGACCGTACCGTGTTCGCACAAACGCACCAGTCCGTGGCACGAGCTTTTGGTACCATTGCATAATAGAAGGATGATGCAGGATGCATGTGAAACGAAGCCTTGTTTCAGCATGGCAGGTGAGGATGAGATCGTTCCAGCCTTGGCTGCTATAGCAGTCTGTCAACTTTCATGCAAAGTCCTTCTCCATACTTAAAACAAGAGCAAGGACGAAGCATGATACATGGCTCGTCATGTGATGCTGAGGATGCAGCAGTCCTTGACTTGTTGATCTCGCTGACGGACTTCATGTCCTTCAAGCAGCAGATGCTCATGGTAAAGGCCTTCGGGGCCTTCGGGGCCTAAAAAGGCCCTTTAGGCTCCACACATGGCGGTTCGAGTTCGTGTCAGGCCGGGGATGCTGGCTTGTCCTTGTCTGGGACTGCTTCACAAATCCATGTCGACGAAGACGAGGAAGGCATTCTGCCTGGGTCAACGGCCCGCCCAGGTCTGGCCTGATTAGACGGGGAAGTTGCAAATCAGGTGAAGCTCGTCCAGACCTGGACGGCTTGCTGACCGTCTCACCAGCCTCGCCAAGCATGCCACCCAGTCAATGACAAACGCCCAGACATGTGGCATTTCTACTGTAAAGCTGCTCCCCTTCTGAGGCCAACGCGCTCCAGGCTGAGAATTGGCTCTCACTGGGCCCATTGTTCTGAGAAAAAATGCAAGTCGGGCTTGGGAGCTGCATTTCCGTCATCGCGTCGTGTCTAGCCCGTATCGGCATGCGAAAACTACGTGGCCTGAGCCATTTGGCTCTGAACAAGACAAGAGAAGGGGTGGGGGTTCTTTTTGGGTATTTTTTTTGTTTTTTTTTGGGTATTTTTTTTGGTTTTCGGCTCAGCGGCTACTTGAGTCCATAAGACGGTCAGTCAGTCAGTCAGTCAGTCAGTCAGTCAGTCAGTCAGTCAGTCAGTCAGCGAGCCAACGG